TTTCGGTTTTTGGCCTGACAATTTTTTTATCTTGGTTTCGTTTCGTGTTTGAACTTTCCATTTCGGTGCACCTCTAGTATATATTTATGTAACTCTAATCTAATCAAACTTCTATACCCTCCGCGAACCTTTTTATGAGCATAATGAGCCCGAATAATCCTCATTTGTTTCCCGTCTTTTTGTAGATGATGCGAAGGTGGTGAAGACCAGAATGAACAAGCGGGCCGGAAGGGAGGAATTCTACGTCCACTACGTTGGCTGTAAGTAAAATCTCCGTCCGTAGCGCCGGACTGAGAAGCAAGACTTTTTTATTTTCCAGCACCGTGCTCCCTTTTAATGTCTACACCAGGGATAGCCAAACTTCGCCCCCCCCCCAGTGTTCAGTGTGTCCCCACGTGCCTTCCACTTTTCTAGGTGAGAGGCTCCTCAGCCTCCCCTAGCGCTGTTCTCGCGCCAAGCTGCCATTCAGAATATGCTGCCCGGCATCAAGTGTCAGCTTGAGGTGGGATAGGATGGGGCTATGGCCGCCAGGGAGCTCCATCCATACGTGCATTGCTTACAGCTCCCTCATGTGTCCTGTAGAGGTGTCTGGACCAGAGTAACGCACTGTACCACGCAATCAAACCTACTACACGTTCTGGTGTGGCAGGTATGTTGCGTTGCCATTCATTTGAATGGTACCCCAAATACACCTCCCACCCACAGTTCGATCACCCGCACCGGAACGCGCAGTACCGCAATATTGTGCGGTGCATTGCAGTGGGACTTGGGTCGCGACTACAATCTCATGTTTTAGTTTTCTGATTTGTATTGAGATTGTAGTCCATCCCGGGAGTGAGCTTGGAGTGGTGACTACTTTACAACGCACACAGGGGCCATGGGGAACAGACGTAGCCCCCCTCCAGAAGGAAGGACAGTGTCAGCACCAATTCAGAGATGATTGGAGGATCTACAGCCGAGTGATACACAAATAAGAGACATTGTCAGGGCTTGAAAAAATCCACTCGATGGTGGAGCCCGACGAGCAGCTTCCCGGCTGGCTGTTGTAATTACATGGCTGGCCGGGAGCTTTACATTCAAGCGATCGGGCGTCTCTAGAGACGCCCGATTGCTTGTATAGGAGCACCTATCAATGCCGTTGCCTGGCCCGAGATCCACTGCGCCCGATGCGGCCGGGACCGGCACAGCTGCTCTGTGACAGGAGATCAAAGAAAGATCAGTACACAAACTCCCTTTTGATCTGCTCTCAGTCCCGGAATGCAGGAAGTGATGTATATTACATCACTTCCTGCATTCAGTGTCTCTCTCCAGCTACAGAAGCGATGAAGCACATCTCTGCCTCAACAGCTTCTCTGGGGGTCCCTGGATGACAGGGGGCTTAAAGACCCCTGATGTCTCCATAAAGAGGACCTGTCATGTAAATTGGCTATCGCATAGGGGACTTCTTAGCCCCCCTATGTGAGACTTCTTAGCCCCCCTAATGTGATGGCAATAAAGTTGTGTAAAAACAAAAAATGCATTAAAAAAACAAAAAATTGCATCGGGTGCGCCTACATGCGAAAACGACGATTGCGCCTAATGTGCCGCACATGTTACATATCGCCGCGAACGTCGGAGTGTGAGCAATAATTTTAGGGCCCTTAATCAACTGATGAGCAATAAAAGCGTTTAAAGCATTGCCTATGGCCAATTTTGGGTGTGGTAGTTTTATTGCGATTTTGCGGGCGCACACAACTTTTAGGTCTCGTTCACACCTAGGCGTATTGCATATGCGCGTCTGTCGCGCGTTTTTCCCCAGTCATCGTCCAGGGCAGCCTCTGAGAGATGGGATCCTCCCACCTGAAACAGGAAACACATCATCCACAATTAGAATAAAAAGGGCGGTCCCTCCTAACCACCTCAGTATTTTGTGTTTCCTCCGGCCGAACAGGAGCATTGCAACGTTTGTTATTTTACTCCAGGCCTATCATGCTAGATAGCAGGGGCCTCCTGAGGCATGCTGCTCTCACTCGCAGGACAGTGGACCTGTAGGGTCTCATGCACAGGACTTTTCCCAGGACTGATTCCCCCAGAGTCCTTACAAAAAATGTTTGCCCAGAGGTTCCCCTCGATAATGGAAGGAGATGGCAACCATCCTCGCTGGCGTAGTGTCTCCAGATGGAGTCCCCCGGAGTGTCCTGCTACAGGAATTGACGGATGACCTGATGGGCTCTCTGGCGGCAGTAGAGCTGGATCACAGCAGGACACGAATAATGTGCTTTGGAGCGCCAGGAGTGGGGCAGGAGCGTGAGTCCAAACGGGAAGGGTGATGCACACCGTTGGACTCTTTATCACAGGCTGCTTCTCCCATTCTGGGGGTTCAAAGCGCCAGCTCCAAGGTAGGCAGGTCTACAATTGACAAGTCCCCCCTACCTGTACCCTTCTTGCTCTGGGGGCCTACTTCGGTGGGGCAAGGGGTAGTTGGCTTACTTGATGCACCTCCCAATGGGTCTTTCCCCAGGGGGGTGCAGCTTGGTCTCGGGTGGCAGGCTCTGAGCCCTTCCCTTTTTTGGCATAAGTATAGGCCTCAGAGGATAAGCCCCTGCCAGCAGAAGCCAAAACACCCTAAGAGTGCTTCCTGCATTGACAAATTGTTTTTCTTTCCGGGCCAAGCTTTTCTGCCAGATCTGTGTATCGCCAAAGAGGGGCATGCATGGGAGGCAGTGTTTATGGTCATATCTCCCTCACACAGACAGGATCTCGCTCCCCAGTTACTGGGGATGGATCCAGGCAGTATCTTATTTAGGACAGCCTGGCTGTTCACCTGCTTTTTCTGGACTTTGGCTGCGCTCTCCCCTCTAATGTACACCTTGTACTGGAAGGTATTCATTGCAGCGTCAGTGTCATAGAAATCCTGAGACTGCAGGGCCAACACTCTGGTGGAGGTATTGCGGTGTGCCTGCAGACAATGTACTGGGCAGAGGAGGTATTGGGGTGGAGACTGAATCACCCCGTTTTACCTGGAGAAGCAGACAAAGGTGTAATTTACAGGCTTTGCAGATAGGCCATTTTACCTGGGGGTGAGTACTGCACAGGTGAATGACCTTGCTGTCTGCACAGGTGGTAACCTCCAGTCAATCTGGAGCGATTACTGCTAATTAGGCTGCACTGATATGTTTTTTCCCTATGCTGCAAAAGTCTTGTTTGTCACCTGGGTGGGGGCTGCTCCACAGGTGAATGGCCTTGCTGTATGCACAGGGGGGAACCTCCAGTCAATCTGGAGCAATTACTGCCAATTAGGTTGCACAGTTATATTCTTTGCCCTTATGTTGCAAGAGCTTTGCTTTTTCCACTAGGGTTAATCCTGATAAGGCTCTGTTATTGGGTATAGGTTGAGGTTCCTCATTTTTCAATTTCACCTGGGTGGGGCTGCTCCACAGGTGAGTGAGTGAGCTTGCTTTCTGCACTGGAGATAATCTCCAGACAAGCTGGGCGATTCCTGACATGGGATTGCACCATTATATATTGCCCTGTATAATGAAAGCATTGATTTCCCTCGAGCATTAAACCAGAAAGGCTCTATGTATTCGGCATACGACAAATCGTCGAATAATTGTGTATACCATAGCCCTGTTGCTGTGATGAGAACCAACGCATGGAGATCCTTGTACAGCATCTATACTATAGCTGAAGCCTGTGCTACCTTTGGCAGGAGTAATAGGGTTATATCGCTACTAGGGAGTTTTTGTCCAGGGAATTTCAATTCACCTGGATGGATTGGCTACACAGGTGATTGACCATTCTAACAGCACTGGTGGACACCTCCAGACATGCTTGGGGTTCCTACCTCTGGGGCAGCACTGTTATCTATATTGGTTTTACCTTATCTCTGGAGGCCCTTTTTTCCCCTCGACGGTTAAAACCGAACATGTAAGCGGATATGCTTTAGCTTTATCCCACTTGAATAAGGATGGAGTGCTGAGAAGGGTTATGGGACTCTTCCATAGCTCCTTTAGGCCTGGTTCACACCTGTACATTTTGTAGCGCGTTCAACGCTCTACATAACGCTCAAACATGAAAATCCCATTGTTTTCTATGGGTATGGTTCACACCTTGCTGTATTTCAGCCCGTCTGAACGCGCTACAAAACAGCCTATGCCCGAAAAGGTACATGAGCTTCTTTGCAGCGTTTTTTTCCCGCGTTTCCATTGGGATACAGCCAAGTAGCCATCAGAAATGCACGTTTGTCCCGGTTTTTTTTTACCGCGAATCGCGGTAAAAGCGCGCTTCAGGAAACGCGCGCCAAACGCACATGTTCGATAGCCTAGGTGTGAACAGAGCCTTAGACTGCTCAGATGAGGTTTCACAATTTGGTTTCAATCTCACCGATTCATCTCGCGATTCGCGCTAAAAAAGTTGTGCGACCTTTGCGCGTTTCCGAAGGCTACTTGGCTGTATCCCAATGGAAACGCGCAACAAAACGGCCCAAAGTAGTACCTGGACCTTTTCAGGCGTGGGCCGTTTTGTAGCGTGTTAGGGACGGGCGGAAATACGCCTAGGTGGGAACGAGACCATTGAATACAATGGGATTTATATTTTTGAGCGTTTTGTAGAGCGTTCGTCGAGCGTAGAACGCGCTACAAAACGTTCAGGTGTGAACGAGGGCTAAGGCTTGACATGTTTGGTGTGTATTTACCCGACGTGACCCGATCTTTTATATTTTACCAAAAATATGGGTAAGAACAGATGTTTTATAACATAACTTGTGGAAACTTTTTTTTTTTGTGGAAATTTACGGTACTTTTTTCATTATATAGGAAAAAAATAAAACGACCCCTCCCCCCCCGGTGGTGGTGATTTCATACCCCCAAAAGAAAGCTCTATCTGTCCCCCAACATATGTTCACATAAATTGCAAGGTGTAAGGGGTTAATTTGAAGAGCACTCAGAACCGGACACACCAGAGAAGTCCTTATTACAGAGCTCCGGGAAGCAATCCTAGACACACACAGTTTGTAAGTCTAATCATGTTCGAGTTTATTATGGAAAAGGCGCAGTTTATATACACGGGCAATCACGTACACAGCATGGAAAGAGGAAATGCTCAAACTGCTGACACGTACGCGTAATCTAAATGTGTTTATATTGTTCATATAAGAATATTACTTGCTTAGACCGTTTCAACATATAGCTGACATAACACATAAAAGGCAACTCTACACCTAACATTCCCCTCTTAGATCACAACTGTAATCTATCATCCGCCTACCTCCTGGTAACCC